CTAGCAAATGTCATGAGGTCATTCTTATTTATGGCTGAGTAATATTCCATTGATAACACTTTATTTCTGCAATAAAACAGTTACTGCACTCTGTGCTGAGAGAACTTTATGAGAGAACCCAATGTCTCTGGAATAAGACTTGAATGTGGTAGGGGGAACCTCAGCAATTGGTGAATGTAAATAATTGATCTTGGACAGAAAAAGCTGAAACTGAGAAATTTGATTCTTTTATTTAATCATATAAAAGGATATCAGTATGCCACGTACACAAAATTTAGCCTGTAGCATATTATAACATGGTAGATATTAATTAAATATGCTCAGGTTTGGTTTAACATGGGAGAGGAGATGCCCTGTATTAAATTGAATGCTTTCATTGCTATTTAAAATGTGGTCTATACTTTCAGAATAATACTATATGTCTTTCATCATAAATTTTTAACCTATATTATATCATTAATCTTTTTATTATGAAAGCTTTATCTTATATCTATTATTCATCCCCTAACCTTTTATAAATCATCTTATTTTTTCTCATTATTGTAAAATAAGTTGTGACATCAATACAACTTCCTTGACAGTGTTTATATAATTAATTGGAGTTCAAGAGTTTCTGGAACTTTTTAGATTTTTTAAACACCTAATACACAAATATTATATGTACACAATATAAATTTTGACACAGGCATCAATTTATTGTAGACTATGTTTATGACATATTTGTAGGTAAGGTATGGAAGCATATCTGAATTGCTGTGTAAATCAATTTTTCAATACTTTGCAAGAATAGGTGCTATATCTTTATTAATCTTTATAATAATCAGTGTTGAAGATAACATTTTAAAATTGCTCACTAATGTGTTTTTCTTTCATTCGTTTGTTTAATTTTAGTTGAAATGAACAGTTTGTAATTTTTTATTATTCTGTACAGTGGTCGAGTAAAGGAAACACTTGCAGAAGAAGCATGCCAAATGGATGCTTGTATGTGTGCAGAAAATATATGGTGCATTCAAATTCTATATATTTATCTGTGGATAGATGTGGGGGTATTAATGTGTTGAACGTTTTGTTGATATGTTAATAATAATGTAGGTATGTGTTTGAAATACTTACTTTTGGTTATGTGTTAATGGGAGTATATTTGAAATATATTGAGTCATTTTTCAAGTCTGTGTATGAGTCTCTATTTCTAAAATTATGTCCATAATATATGTTAGCCTTTATAATTAACGTAAGTATGCACAAATTACAGGGGGTGCTTTTGGGGCAAGGGGTACAAGGGATTGACCCCAGGAGTTCTCTACTACTGAGCTACATCCCCAGTCCTTCTAATCTTTTATTTTGAGACAGAGTCTCACTAAGTTGCTGAGGCTGAACTCAAACTTGCACTTCTCTTGCCTCAGCCTCTAGAAGGCATGACCCACTACAGTCAGCTATAGTGTATGTTTGATATATCAAAAAATGTGATTAGTGACTAGAACATTGGGCAGTTTCAGGAGCTTATTTGCATATACATTAAGAGGTAATATGAATATTAATGAATAAATAGCTGGATGTGTCTAAGGTACATCTGTGGGGGTCTCAGCATGTCTGGGACTATGCATGTTTGTGTATATTGTATGCAGCGTGTTTGTATTTCTGATCAAGGAAGGACTGGCATGTTAATGGATATGAATGATGACATCAGAAATCCTGAGGCCAAGATTGAGATTCCCCTGGGAATGATTCTCCTATGGCTCAGCTCAGTTCATTGATGCCACCATCCCAATTATTTCCACTTTTCTCCCTCTTGAATCAAATGAGTCTTGGGATTTTGGCACATTCATAAATTTATGTCATAAGAGAATAGTTGATGCCGCTCTCGCGGCCAAATCCACAGTGCAGTACATCCAGCTACAGGGAAAAGAGACGTCTCCCATCCAGTGAGTGCTCTTCCCAAAGACTGTCCACCTGGACTCTTTATCTAGCCTTATCCAAAATTTGAGAATTTTTACTGACAGTAAAGCAAACTCTACCTCTTATATTTTCTCTACAAACATGAGCCAAATCTATTTCCTTCCAAAGTCCATGATCACAGAGAAATGATGCCTATTCCCATCTGAATCAAAGCCCTAACACCAAACCACCTACCATTAGGCCAAGGGACTGATGCATCAGATTTTGTCTTGAGGGTATTTTATATTTCTCATTTAGAAACCTACAATTTGAATTATGATCTCCTATACCTGGCTCTGGGTGTATGTACATGGGGAAAAAAATCACAGAGGCAAATGAGCTGAAGTCATTCAACAATGTGTGGTCTTCAATTAGGTTGATTTCCACTGTGTGTCAAGGGATTATCCTTAGTGGAGATATTGATGTGAGTTTGTTAATGGTGATCATTTGTGACACTGCTTATGTGTGTGTGTGTGTGCGTTTATGAGAGTATAAACAAAGGAGGATGGATATTTGAAACATTATATTAATCCATGAGCTGTCATGAGTCTTCTTGAGTTCTGTGGTGTGATAGTGTTATGTGTGACCAGGACTGATGTGAGACAGTTTCTATGAATGTGTGGATGTTCAAGTGAGTGTAGAAGTGTAAAAACGTGCACTTTCATTGCCTTTTTAGGCATTTATTCATGTGCAGGCTCATGTATATGCTGTGTTTCTACCTTCCTGACTTTTTTTTTTTTTTTTAACTGAAAAGTCACAGTTAAGAAGCTTTAACTGACACTCCCTGGACAAAGCAGAGAAAACAATGGTTGTTGGGTGGCATTGGGCATTTTCTCCTTAGAAATGTTTTCATTTTCCAGACAGGAAAATCTGCAGCACAAAAGAAATATTACCATCTAGACTACCTCAGCTTGCACACCAAACATTAAGAAAAGTGGGGCAAGCCTCTCTTTTGGAATAGGTTTTAGTATCTCTTGGTGCTGTCAAGGTTCTTCCCATTTCTTCAGGACTCAGACAACATCTGGGAGTAAAGGTGATTTTAAAAAGGTAGATCTGGACAGGCTGGGTCCAAAAAGACTTCTTAGAGATATTGACTTTAAACATGGGTTGGGAGGGGGGGAAAGTTTATAGAGGATAAAGAACTATAAATCTTACTGATAAAAGAAGTGCATTGATTTCTCAGGTGGAAGAGAGAGAAATTAAAAAAAATACATAAATTTCTTCTGATAGTTTATATACTTTAAGGATTGTGACTGATATCACTATCCAGCCCCTGTCATGATCAATTTCACCATGTTTACCAGGTGTGTTAGGCAAAGAATGGAAAATCTAGAAAAGGAAAAGGAAAAAAAAAAAAAAGCCATTGTGCCTAAATTCTAGAATAAAGCTTTCATTTTGAGCTAGTTGGTAGTATGAAAATACAGTCGCAGTGATACTTTGAATAAATATGAAGAAGGGAGTCTTTAATGATACATTTTTTTCCAATTTTCATCACTCTGACTATTGGTTATTTTACTTGGTGTTAGGCTGTTGCTGCTTACAGGCAAACACAGAGAAAGAGGATCCAGTGAATAAGGTAGAAATAGGAAAGCCAAGGCATAAGGAAAATCAAGGAGAAATGGTGCACTTCCACAAAGAAGGCAGTTTGGGGAAGGTGAATTACTGATAATGCAAGCAGGAAAGTCACATGGATTAGGAGGATATTTTCATTACCTTTAGAAGCAAGGAGATTAGTTGTCACCATAGAAAAATCTGTTTTGGGGAGGGAGAAAGTGTAGAAGTTATAGAAATGAGCAGTAATAGAAGGAAAGGCCAATGACATTGAATCCCTGATATAGAGGATCTCAGAAGTTTGTTGCAAAAGCCGGCACATTAAATAGGTAAGTGCAAGATCCTCTCCCTTAGCATCAGGAAGGACAGTGTTGAAAAAAATATGACTAAGAATTGATAGCAGCTAGAGAGGGAAGGTTCAAGTTTTCATGATGGGATGGTTGTTGCCTGTCAGGAAAGAGGCAGAAAGGGGAGGAGATAGAAGGCATCATACAATGGACTAATGGAAGAGAGATCTAAAGGAGGTGGCCAGAAATGGGATCTTGAAGATGAAGGGACAGTCTTTGGAGAAGGAGGGACATCTCTTTCTCAAAAGACTGGGGAAAAGGCTAGATCAATGTATAAATAGGTTTAAAATTTAAGCAGTGGCAAGAAATAATTACCTCCTTTTTATTTCAATAAAGAACTTGCTTCTTCAGTTTTGCACACCCGGTTTGATTATAGACCTTATCAAAGGTTAGGGTTAAAAAAAAAGGTTAGGGTTTACCACGTTCATATAAAAGGGAGGAAAAGAGATAAAGAAACAAATCCCCGTTGGGGAGTAGGTCAGGAAAGAAATGAAGAAGTTAAGAGTTAATAGACAAATAGATTAAAAAAAAAACCCAAATCAAAAAAATCCTGGAGACTTCAGAACTAGTGTACAAGCATGAGAAGGTCAGAGAACTGTGAGATAGAAGTCTATGATCAAAATGAGAGGTATTAAAATTTATGGTTTCAGAGAGAGAACAGATTTTGATGATGACCAATGTGGTCAAGGGATTGGGAAGCTGAGGTGAAGTGTGGATGAAGGCTATTGATGCTGTAATTTTATGACTGTAAATTGTTTGGAACGTCTGCTGAAGAGTTCCCAAAGGCATGGGCAATGTTTCCTCTTTATGGTGTATCTTAATTTCTACTTTCCCCAAATTCCTAGATGTAATTTCTGGGTAGATTGGAAAGGGAAGAGATATTGCAGTTGAAGGTTAGAGGACTTTGTTCATGCCGTCTCCCACCTTGCCTTGCCAGGTTTTGGGCACTCCTTTGAGTTTCCACCATGGCCTATGTGGCATGCTGGGCCCTGCTGGTACAGAAATGTATAGAACTCAGATTCTTCCTCACAGAACTCAGAGTCGGATGGAGGAGGCAGGAATATAGATACACGTTTTCAATCTCTTGTCTTTTGTGTTGGAGACAGGATATCTGAAAGAAGGAAAGTGAAGAACTCCCCTGACACCCTCTGGGCTCATTTCCCCGCCATGCTGGGCCTCAATGGCACTCCCTTCCAGCCAGCTATGCTCCAGCTGACAGGCATTCCTGGGATGCGGACAGGTCAAGCCTGGGTTGCCCTGATTTTCTGTGTCCTCTACCTGATCTCTATCATAGGCAACCTGAGTGTCCTTGCTCTGGTGGTTCGGGAGCCTGCTCTTCACCAGCCCATGTACTACTTCCTCTCCATGCTCTCTCTCAATGATCTGGGAGTGTCCCTTTCCACACTTCCCACGGTGCTCGCTACTTTCTGCTTCAACTACCACTATGTTGGCTTTGATGCCTGCCTGGTCCAGATGTTCTTCATTCACACTTTCTCTTTCATGGAATCGGGCATACTGTTGGCCATGAGCTTTGATCGCTTTGTGGCTATTTGTGATCCACTACGTTATGCCACTGTGCTCACCAACAGCCGCATCTTGGCCATGGGCCTGAGTATCCTTGCTAAGAGCTTCACAACTCTGTTTCCTTTCCCCTTTCTAGTGAAACGACTGCCTTTCTGCAAGGGCAATATTTTGCATCACTCATACTGCCTTCATCCAGATCTCATGAAGGTGGCATGTGGAGACATCCATGTTAACAACATCTATGGACTCTTTGTGGTCATTTTCACCTATGGTGTGGACTCAGTTTTCATCCTTCTTTCCTATGCATTGATCTTGAGAGCTGTGTTGGCTATTGCATCTCAAGAGCAGCGGTTGAAGGCACTCAACACCTGCATGTCACATATCTGTGCAGTGCTGACCTTTTATGTACCCATAATAGCAGTCTCCATGATCCACCGCTTCTGGAAAAGTGCCCCGCCTGTTGTTCATGTTATGATGTCCAATGTCTACCTGTTTGTACCCCCCATGCTCAACCCCATCATCTATAGTGTGAAGACCAAGGAGATCCGTAGAGGGATCCTCAAGGCCTTCCATAAGTCCTAGGCCTGAGGAAGGCTGAGGATCCCAAGAGATCACCTTTGGAGGAAGGACTATGATATGCCTACTAACCTGGAATGCTAAAACAAGGAGGAAGATGACCCAAGCTCTTGAGAGTTCTACATTTAGAATGAATAAATACATGTCTAACTCAATATAGTGATGAATATATTGAAAACTATTTATTGAAAATTCACTGTATGTGGCTGGGGTTGTGGCTTAGTGGTAGAGTACTTGCCTAGCATGCATGAGGCACTGGGTTCAATGCTCAGCACCACATAAGAATAAAATAAAGGTGTTGCGTCCATCTAAAACTAATATATATATATATATAAAAGAAAATTCACTGTCTGAAAATCCTTGCATCCTTAGTTGCTAAGGATATTACAATGGTGAGGATAGCATACTGTTAAATAAACAGATACACATGTCAAGAGAAAAGCATAAAAAAGAACAACAAATACCCTGAGATTTTTTTTTTTAGCATATATGGGAATAATGGAAGTCCTTCAGGGCAAATAGGCTTGAACACAAATAATTCTACTATCATTGAGAATGAGGAAGAAAATAAAAATTAAAGACAGAGGTTTTGGGCTATGGAGAATTGCTGTTCTTGTGTAAAGGAGAGCATCTATTTCACATGGAAATAAGTAAAGCTTATTTTGGATGTTATGAAGTAGCTTGTGAAGGATGAGAGCATTTAGAGTGCTTGGTTCAAGATAACAGCGTAAAGGGACAGATATAATCACCTGAGAGGAAATATTTAGACAGAAGACAGAAACTTAATTCTCAAAGTACAGTCCAATGAACAATAGCATTGGCATATCTGGTACTTGTTAGAAAAACAAAATCTTAGGCCCCTCACTCAACTTACTGACTAACTGCATTTAGTAAGAGCCTTGGGTGACTAAAATTTTTGAAGCATAATATTCTCCTTTCTAATAACTCCCAGTGATTAGATTCTTATATGTCAGCTGGGCAGCAAGAGTTAAAAAAAACAAACAAACACATAATTAACAAAAGTTTGAAAGGTGATTCTCAGAGTAAAACTCCCAGATCAGCATCATCGGCATTGCTTGGAACTTTATTGGGCACACAAATTCTGAGAATTGTTCTCAGACCTCCCAAACCAAAAATTCTGGACAGTAGACACAGCTATTTGAGTTTTAAAAAGCTCGCTAACTTATTCTGGTAGTTTTAACCTAGAATACTGGCCTAGAATATTTGGGAAAGCTCCTCAATGAAAGACCTTCCTGCAACAGGGAGGTCTTTCATTGAGGAGCTTGGGGAGCAAGGACTTTAAAGATTGCCTAAATTAACATGTGAATGACTTAAAATTGGGAGAAACTGAGTGCTTTATAACTAAATGTATGGTATTGGTGGTGAAGAGAAATGCAGACTTAATACCTTACTATCTCTATGAGACGATGCAAGTGGAACATAGAAACAACTTCGGAGGAATCTGATGAACTATCTTCACCCACGTCACAGTCACTGCCCCATGAAGTGACTCCCTTCCATTCCTCCCAATTCCCATTCCTGACATCCCAACCTACCAGGCATCAAAGTTTAGACAAACTCTGATTTTAGGTCTGCCACCTAGGTACATAGAAACTAGAGAGAAAAATTTCAGTTAGTTGTTTTTTTTTTTCTTTCTCAAGTTGCTCTGATACTTCAGAGCACCACAAGGGGAAAAGAAAGTTCTCTATGTCCATCTTCTGTTTGACTCTCCACACACATTCTACCACATGATAGAAGAGGGAGAGAAATTCCTGTCATTTTTTTCCTCAGTACACTCTTACTCTTATGAAAAATTGAAATTAAAAGAGGTTAAATTTAATATTTAATGGGAAGAACAAATGTTGGGGAAAAGAACATATTTGGGGGATCTGAAATTGAGACCTGCAGCAGAAGTAAGTTACCACTAATTATCAGGTGTGCTACAATTAATTAAAAACAAAGAAGCCTATTACTTCCTTCTCATTTGAATCTCTATCTCCTGTAGACAGAAATATATACTTTACAAATTAGGTTCCAAGTTCAAGTTGGAGGAATATGAATATTTCAAAACCCTAAAGTAAAGCCAGGACATAAACCTAGGTTTGTGACTTTGAACTTCATGTTCCTTTGCTGCCCTGGAATGTCTGTCATAGAAGAGACCCTGAACTTGCGGAACATGGTGAAGGGTCAATGGAGATGGGATGGCAGTGGAAATTAAGTAGGGGACAGTGGGGATAAATGGATCAGGGTAGCCAAGGGCATGCACTCTAAATTCTGGGGTTTTCTCTGGGCTCCAAGTTCTATTCTCTGATATCTAAGCTCCAAAATTTTTCTTCTGGGTTCTGTGCTTTAGGATCTACCTGAGATCTGTGTTTTATGCTCAAAGTTCAAGAACCTACACATTGGATTCTGGGCACACAGTTTTAAATTTTAGATTGGATAATTGTGTGTAGGTATGTGAATCTATGAAGCTTAGAAATTTTTTTTCTCCATATTCTTCATCATAAGAAAGAAATTTAAATTTTATTTTTTTTATTTTTAATTTAATTTAATGTAATTTTTTTGTGTGTGTGTGTGTGTGTGGCGAGAGGACACTTCCAGGGGAAGTATTTTCATATACATTCTTATCTTTCTATTTCCAAGGGGAGATCAAACCCCCTCCTTTTTCCATCACCAATGGAGCATCACACTCAGGCAAAGAGTACTCTGGAGGCCTGGGTCTCTGGGAACTCTGACTCAGAGACCTTAAGTCTGCCTCCTCCCCTGGTTACTCACTGCCTGAGGCTCACTGTGGATGGTTGTAAGCTCTGGCCCTCTTGCATCCTAACAGTCGCTTGCTTCACAAAGCCCCATCCAGTGAGTTTGAATCTGTCTTTGTTTTCCAGATGTGTATAAGAAGTGTGTTTTTATTGACAATTCTCTTTGTGTTCCTGTATGAATTTCTCAGTCTCTTTGATCATATTTTTGAGTGAGTTTCTGTCAATGCCTGTGTGTTTCAATAGTTGCCACAAGGAAAATAAAAGATGGCGGCGAGGGGAGTGCATTGCCCCCGTGTGCTGCTTCACTGTGTGGGAGTATGACAAGTCAGGACGGCTAAAGGATATCTTGTTAGGAATTTCCAGCAATAGTGGGGTGCTCCGGAACCTGGAGGAAGGATTTCCATCGCACGAGGATCAGCTACGGGGACTCAAACGCGAGAGGTTTGTCGCACTGCTTATTCAGCAAATCGGCCCGAGGCTAGAATCTGCAGCGTGCGCTGGGATAGAGACGCAGGGTTACAGCGCTGCAGTTTCTGCCAGCCGCGCAAGCACCGTACTCAGGGCTGAATTCTGGGTTCGAGACGGGGGAAGGAAGCGGTCCATCTCGGTTCTCCACACCGGTCAGACCACAGAGGAGGCCAGCAGCCACCATGTTGGTAAACTGACGTCACCACCGCTGTTTTCGACTGACCGCAGCTCATTCAGCCATAGAACAGGTAATTTCAGGCTGCAATTCGCCTGCGGCTTGCAGACAGATTGCTAGGGCTCAGCGCCTGGGTGCTTCTTAGAACCTAATCTTATCGGAGTGAATACCCAGCGCGGAGCGGCTGCTGAGCCCGCGGAGGCTGCTTCTTGGACCCTGCGCCTACCAGAGCATACAACAAGCACTAAGCAGCCGAATTACGGCTCCCGGAACTGAGCCCGCGGGGACTGCTTCTTGGAGCTTACATTTATAGGAGCTTACACCGAGCACGGAGCGGCCGAGTTCCGGCTCCCGGAACTTCCCTGGCCCGGGGCTAGGAGCCCGCGGAAACTGCTTCTCGGTCCGGGTCCTGCTGAGGGCCGGTCAGGACTCACCCGGTGCTTTGGTTGCCCGGCAAGGGGAACGAAATGCTGCCATTCGCATAGGATACCAACATGGCAGAGATCTGACGTCTGCAGAAAGCGGCGGAGGAGGGAACTTCAGCAATACCAGTGGTGACATAAGCAGTTGGTCTCCTGGTAGGGGGGGTGAGGCACAGTCACCCGAGTCTCCTCAATTTGTCGTTGAGCCAGAGGGAAGGAGCCAGGCCGCCGCCAGCGCCCGGAGCAGGCCCAGCGGCTTGCCAGCGTGGTGACCGCGTGACTCCAATTGGAGAGGGGGCGGAGCGGAGCCGCCACCCGCAACCACAAGGTGGGCAGACCCGCGACCCAGTGGTACATGGGCGTGGTAGGAGGGGCAGGGCAGAGCCGCGGTTCGCGCTGTGACGAATGAGCGTGCAAGGTAAACAGACCTGTGACAGCCTGGCGGGTCAGGCCCAGTGGCCTGCCAGTGTGGTACACACGTCACCCCAACTGGAGTAGGGGCAGAGCAGATCCTTCTCCCACGCCCGGATCAGGCCCTGCCGGTGTGGTGGTCACGTGACCCCAATCGGGGGCGGAGCAGAACCGCCACCCGTGCCCGCAGGGTGAGCAGACCAGGGATCAACCTGTAGATCAGGCCCAGGGGTCCGCAGGCGTGGTAGGAGGGGCAGGGCAGATCCGCCGCCCGCGCCTCCAAGGTAGGCAGACCTACAACAGACCTGCGGATCAGGCCCAGGAGCCTGCCGGCGTGGTACAAACACCACCCTAATTGGAGTAGTGGCAGAGCAGAGTCGCCGCCCGTGTCAGGAACAGGCCCAGTGTCCTGCAGGCGGGGTAGTCACGACACCCCAATTGGAGTAGGGGCAGAGCAGAGCCTCCACCCGTGCCCAAAAGGTGGGCAGATCTGCGACCGACCAGCGGGACAGGCCCAGTGGCCTGCCGGTACGACAGACACGTCACCCCATTTGGAGTAGGGGCAGAGTAGAGCCGCCGCCCGCGCCTGCAGGGTAGGCAAACCTGCAACCGACCGGCGGATCAGGCCCAGTGGCCTGCCGGCGTGGTACACTCGTCACCCCAATTGGAGTAGGGGCAGAACAGAGCCGCCGCCAGCTCCCAGAACAGGCCCAGTGACCTGCCGGCGTGGTAGCCACGACACCCCAATTGGAATAAGAAGAGAGCAGAGCC